TATAATTTGTTTTCCTATTCAATTCTTTTGTCTCCCAAAATGTATAATAAACATGCTTTTAGTCCTTGTGTCCTCTACAGTGGACATGTATGAAATGATGTCCTGTTTCATAACAGGAAGTCATATTTTGATTTGAAACCCCATAACATTTTCCTGAGATGTTGATTTATGACAAACAATTTGAAAATTAATCAGATTTAAATTATAATTACAAAATATTATCATATTTCCATAAGAATGTACAATTGTATCACTAAATTAATGTCAGCCATTTTTAAAAACCAAGGAGAGGGAGTGGTCACGGTGAAACATACAATCATTTGGTATCTCTGGAAAGTCCTAAATGTGCTCTGTACAGGCCATCCAGACTTAAAACTGTGACATGTGAGGTCTCAGAGAAATTCACTCAAATATAATGTCCACTACAGAGGCAAAAACTCCATAGCTGGGTCTCAGGAGGATATGACATAAGATAGTTATAGAAGTTCACAGAACTGACTCCGCAACAGCTGAGTAAAACTGTTTCATCTGAGCATGTGGCACTTTAAGCATTATCGTATCGCATATCGAATATCGCATTATTTAATGAGTTATCGCATATCGCATTTTTCTTCAATATCGTACAGCCCTATTGACTAGTCGCTGGTCCTATAGAGGGCGCAACAGGATAAGAAATCTTTGAAGGACTTCCACATTTACGCTCCGTTTCCAAACAGTTAAAATGACAAATAAATGCATAATCTAAAAGCGCCCCACAAGACATGTGAGATTATATTACTGAATGCTCAAAATTTTACGGGAGAATGCACATTTTAAACCGCATATTGTACAGGTAGGTAAATTAATCGCCATTGTAATGTAATGCGCTGCTGCACTGTAACGCACACACGTGCAGAATCATTCAGCGCGGAAATGTATTGTCAACACTGTTCTGTGGTTTCTCAATAAAATAGCTTTGAAACTGAAAAGTTCAAGCATTTATTTCTTAATAACGAAATCCCACAGCTTCACTACTAGTAGAGAGACGCTGCCAGGTAGAATTAATTCACACACGCAATCGCTCTCACTAATGCATTCATATGAATGTAATCTTTACTGTGCTACTTTATCTGTATCTGATTTAGAATGAGCAGAAATCTGTGAGAAACATAACGACTCAAAGACAAAAGAACTGTTAAAAATGAGCTGTTATAGGAGCAATAGCCATTTGGGCAGCGCTGTGTCATATGCCATAGCTGTGCACAAGGTGTTTGTCACAGCTCCAGACTTATTTGTTCATTAATTCGTTTTGATCTGCTGATTTAGTCAGCTGCAGATTTGTGCCTTTCACTCTGATGCTGCAGAAGCGCAGCAGAGATACAGGGTCATAGAGCGCGTCTTATTTCACACCCTCTCAGCACGTAGATTTTTATGGGGTCAGACATTTTATCCCTCATACCAGGACAGGGCTCCATAAAATATCCCACTGAGACTCATCTATCAATGTGTTTTTGACTTTTTTACGTCAGTAGTAGCGCTTAGTGCACATTTTTTTTATATTTTATTTTATATTAACAGATAAGTCCTGGCTAATGATTGGTTAATACAGCATTCCAGCTGTGGAAATGAAACCCATGTTCACCAAATCACTGCACAGCACCCATAGCTGATCTTATTGATCTTATTTTTCTTATCAATTATTGTCTTCTTCTGTTATGTCAAGGACTATATGGGAGACCCAGGATGGTTGTAATATCTAAGCCAGTGCATTCAAAATGTGACACAAACTAGTTACAAGTGCTATTACATGCCATAGCTGTTATATTTGCAGCACAAACAGAAAATTCATGGTTTTGCTGCTGATGCACTGCCATCACAAAAGTAAATAAAGTAAAAAATAAAATAAAATATAAAAAGTTAGGCTACTGTCTTACATCAAAATTAGTTTCCCCCCTCTAAAATCTGCTGTGTCTGCCCCAGGGATCTTCTTCGTCACATGTGGAATAAAGACTAAACTAAGCATGAGTGAAGTGAATCAGGTGTTACAACCATCCCCGGTCTCCCCTATGAATAAAATAAAGAAATATGAATTAACAGAGGTGGACAAAGTACACAACTCCATTACTTGAGTGAAAGTACAGATACTACTGGTCAAATATTACTCCAAGTGAAAGTTGTAAAGACAGATTGTTACTTAAATAAATGTACAGAAGTACTTGCTTTTAAAAGTACTTAAGTACACTGTAAAAAAAAATCCGTAAAATTTACGGTAAAAAAACGGCAGCTGTGGCTACCGGAATTTTACCGTAAAAAATACGGTAGCAACGTTTTAGGTTTTACGGTTTTAACTTAAATTTACAGTTAAATACCGTAATTTAATTTGATATAATGTTAATATACCAACCTATTGAAGTACTGAAATCTGTTTTGTACCTTTGTAATACACTGATAACCACCAAATGCAGGTGGTGATGAGAAAGTCACATGATGAACCAAAGCCCATCACAAGCAGCTTTACTTAAGTAAATGTACAGAAGTACTTGCTTTTAAAAGTACTTAAGTACACTGTAAAAAAAAATCGGCAGCTGTGGCTACCGGAATTTTACCGTAAAAAATACGGTAGCAACGTTTTAGGTTTTACGGTTTTAACTTAAATTTACAGTTAAATACCGTAATTTAATTTGATATAATGTTAATATACCAACCTATTGAAGTACTGAAATCTGTTTTGTACCTTTGTAATACACTGATAACCACCAAATGCAGGTGGTGATGAGAAAGTCACATGATGAACCAAAGCCCATCACAAGCAGCTTTTAAATAATAACATATATAGAAGGTGCACAGTGTTATTCACACAAACACTAAACACCATCATGGTAACACACATGAAACTGAAATAATGCAATAAACATTTATTTAACAACATTAGGTGTAACACACAACCCTAATATACAAAACTGATAAGAAAAATCTAAGAAGAAACATAGTTATTTCAACAAAAAAACATAAAATTTTAAATGTAACGCAGGGAATTCTGGGAATGTCAATTTACGGTTATTCATTGTAAATTATACGGTATTTTTCACTTCCAAAAACGGTATACTACCGTAAAATTAATGTCCAATACATGTAATGTCCAATACAGTTTTTTACCGTATATAGTAGGGGAATTTACCATTAACCATTTAACAGGCTTTTACTGTAGCATTTTTACAGTATTTTACCGTTAAATTCACGGTCATTTTTTACAGTGTACCAAAAGTTTAAAAAAATTACAGTCTATGCCACAAACAGAGCGTGCCATGCAAGCAAACCACATATAATATCTTTGTACAGAATTGTCGTTTTTCTTTGAATTGTACTTTCACACAAACATCATTATCGTAAACAGTTTTTATATAGAGCCAAAAAAATAGATTGTCATATGTTACATTTATTTAGCTATTATTTTGGAATTGCGACAATCTGACCTATACCTGCCCAAGATAATCAACCAGCAGTTTAAGCTATCATCTTTAAAATATCAACATCTTATCAATGTTTAATAAAATGTGGTAAATGTTGGTAGTGGGCTTTTTTTTTTTTTTTTCTGTTCGCATTCTATTTGGCACAAACCGTCCGATGCACTAGGTGGCAGTATAACTTAATTTGATTTATCTGTTACCGAAAGCAAAACAGAGAGGAAATAAATTCCGCAAGCAAATTCTCACACGTGGAAACTGGTGTGACAACTTCAATCAAAGGTATGGGAATATATGTACTCTTTTACAGATTAGAGATGTATAGATGAGATCAAAACGTTTAAACCTTTTTGTCTGTAATGCCTATAACATGGTATGCATAGACGGTGTTTTGCCAATTCTAAAGGATCCGATAACATGGCTTATATTAACCGTATAGGCATACTTTTTAAGAATATCTGTCTTTTTTTGTTGTATTATCAATATAAGGCTGTATACATATTGTAGTATCGACATTATGTGATCCACCACATAATGTGTGGACCGTGTGTATCTCATCAAGCCTGTCAAGTCATGTTTCACCCAAAAGAAGTCGAATATTTTTCAGACAGGTCATTATTGTATTATTAATGAGAATCACATTGGCAGTAATGAAAGATACTTAAAAAAAACTAAGAAGAATAACGTATGGTTACATTTCATCATTTTTGAAGAAGGGAAATATGTTTGATTGTCATGAAAATATTATCATAATGCAACAACAATAACAGCAAATCTTTCAGCTAGACTTCTTTATATAAAATGTCATTTATTTTGTGGTAAAATCTGACCTTTGAAGAATGACATTGACCCCCTGAAACCGCACAATGGTTACTTTTGTGTGAAAACCGAAATGCTCATATTATTCTCATATGCCTCTAGATGACTTCATTAGCACATCAGTTGAAGCGGCTGGCTTTGCCACAGAATGACTCTGATCTGCTCAGCCGGAGAGTGGTGGCCTCTGTGCTCTTTGACCCGAAAGATGCTGCCAGCATGGACCGCAGCACCTTCTATGCCCTGGGTAAGTCACATGTCCTGCTAGAGCTTTTCCTTCTTTTTCCTCCAAGTTACACTGCTCTTCTAAACTTGCATACCATGCTCATTGATGTGCAGTTACTGAATATGAGACATTTATATACTTCTGCAGAGCATCTACTAGATCAGTGTTTCCAAACCTTTTTTTAGTCGCGGCACCCTTTGAACATTTAAAAAAACTTGTGGCACCCTACAAAATAAATTGTCACAATATTTGAATTTCTAACTTCGATATGATAATTTGAAAAGTATAGATATTTGGTACAACAGGGTAGAACTGCAGAATATAATGTCATACAGATATTTTTAATATTATTAAAAAATTGTCCATCAATGGTGGCAATCAGTCAGGCTAATTTCTAATGAAGAGACCAATTTATATGACAGATTTTAATGTAGGCTTTTATACATATGTAAACATTATTTAATTACCATTATAACTAGCTATCTCACAATTTCTTGCTCACTCTGTGTTTTTTTTTTTTATTTTACAGTGGGGTAATTCTGGAGACATCAGAAATGGATATTATATAATAGATGCTTTTTTGAACATTTTAGCAATTTAAAAATATTAAAAAATTATTTTTTTTTACACGGCACCCCTGCTCTCGACAGACGGCACCCCGGTTTGGAAACACTGATGATCCAATTCTAGATGGAAGAGGAGGTCCTTCCATTGAAAATTCCAAAGAAGTCATGCCCAGTCCATAAATTACTTATATTGTGCAATTTTATTTGCTTTCTAATAACCAAATATGCTACCAGTGAAGTGGGTGAACTATGATTACATAGGTTTTTATACAGGAACCATCAGTTTGCATACTATCATTTCTGCAGTGTGGAGTATTTTGTTTGGTGTGTGCACGGAGTACTTGCTTGAATATACAAATATAAAAATAGTTTTAGGATCTAGGCAAAGTGGCTCATTTATGTTATTCACAATACTTTATGGAAGCGGATGGTTGCTACTGAGCACTTTTGTCACAATTTTTATTCCCATGGTAACAGAGACATCTCTGGTGAAGTGACGAGTTGGGAAGTAAAAAGTCCATTCATTCTCTGATTTATAACAATAAATATGATTTTTAACAATAACACAAATACCTTTAAAGACAGACCTACTGTGAGTTCGGAGGTTGTTGGTATATGCTTTTGATGAAGTCATCTGTTTTGCATTATTTCAACTTATTTTTAAGATATTCATGTTTAGCAGCTGGATTCTTTCTTGTTGAAAAAAATAATACATTACCCATGATGCTGTACAGAAAAATCACCAATCAGAAAGTCGCAGCAAGCAAATCAAGCTGAAGGAGCTTGCAGGGACTGCTCACTCCCATGAAACACCGCAAATTACAAAATTGACTCCGTCTCGCTATGCTTTTAAAATATTTAAATATTTGTAGTAGGGCTGTGCAAATAATCGAATGCGATTTTCATGCGCATCTCGTCAGTCTAGATGAGATCAAAACATTTCATCCTTTTTGCGAAAAACTTTTTGTCTGTAATGCCTATAACATGGTTATGCATTGGTGTTTTGTGCACTTCTGGTGATTAGTAGTAAATCTCCAGCACGTGCGTTCAGATGGAGCGGCATTTACTACACAGAGCCATAGTTCACTGACAAGCTACACAAAATCGCGTTTATAATCAGCAATGAATCACCTGCTATTTTGAACGTGATTTTGTGTAGCTTGTCAGTGATCTATGGCTCTGTGTAGTAAATGCCGCTCCATCTGAAAGCATGTGCTGGATTCACCTGTAAATAAGCATTAATTGCAACGAGTAGTAATAGTCATCTTGTCTAAATGTCTGCTGCTATTGATCATTCTGAACAGGCTGCACGGGACTTGAGGAGCTGATGGGTATTGATCCAGCATTCAGTGAGTTTCAGGAGACTCTGTTTAGTCAAGCCTCTTTGGCTTTAGAGCGCAGTGTTCAGATCAAAGAGGTGAACAAGAAACTGAACAAGAGCATCTCACTCTTTCTCACTCGACTGTCACCGTACTTTCTGCTCAAGCCTGCTCTGAAATGCATTGAATGGCTAATACACAGGTAACTTTAGTAGATTTGCTGTTGTCTCACTTTGTCAGTTTTCCGATTGTTTTAGAGTGTGATAAACTTTGTAAGAGGCAAAATTGTGCTGTATTTTAGAGATGCTCTTAATTTAAAGGTGATGTGTTTAAATTATTTGAGGTTGACATGTGCAAAGACAGCTGTAAGTAACCCATTTGTAGGTAGACCTCCAGAAAAACACTGATTTGGTCATAATTTTTACAATTCCATTTGGAAATCATACACCTTATATATTGCATATTGTCTTCACGGATACAAATTGCGCTTGATTTCAGATTCCACATTCAGCTGTACAACCAGGACAGCCTGATTGCTTGTGTTTTTCCATATCATGAGACTAAAGTGTTTGTACGAGTGATCCAGCTTTTAAAGATAGAAGATCCAACCCACAAATGGCACTGGCTGCATGGACTTCAGGTAAACCATATCGTTTCTGATTCTGTCACATATGCAGTTGGTGTAAAGAAAGCTAGAGCTTAATTTGTTACTTTTCTAATTGCCCTGTACTTTATCTATAGAAACCTGGTGTTCCCTTGGCCCGAGGAACTCTGCTCACACACTGCTATAAGGATTTAGGCTTCATGGATTTCATTTGTTCTATGATCACAGATTCAGTAAAGGTAAAAAAACCCAGGCTGGGTTCTGTGCAGGTTAAAGTATGCCAATCCAGTAATGCTGCATTCTTTAATGCTTTATTGAATCATGTTGTAGGCATACTCTGGATTCGTCAGGGATGGGAACTGTCCGCAGCTGCGTGTGATTTTCTCTTTCTATGCATCCACCATTGTTTCTGCACTTGATGCAGTGGAGAAGATAACTAACTCTATTATTGCCAAACTGCTTCCATTTGTACAACTGGTAAGACAATAATTCAGTGACATAATGCAGATGTGGTTAAGTTTATAATTTATAAATATATGTATATGGGTGTGTTTTTAGAAGTTTTTAATGGACTATATTAATAATTTATAAATAAATTTATTTTCCATTACTCATCAAGATTTAATTGATTCAATATTAAATTACTACATTTACATGCACATCAAGTTCTGTTTAAGTTCTATCAGTTTCAGTTCAATTTGCAGCCATATTCCTAATATGATGTTTAAGGGCATCAAAATATTCTTGTATTGTTATTGTTGTTATAAGCATGCCAATCTATAAATGCATGTTTCCTTTCCCACTGTTATTTCTCAGCAGTTTGAAGATGCTGATTTACAGTATTCTTATTTATTAGTTTTATTATTACTGTTTTCACGATCATTTTAAATTTGATTACGCATTAAATTCAAAAATGCCAGACTACACCTCCAAATGGCAAGGGTCGGGCATTTGTTAATGTTAATAATAATAACAGTCACGTTAATATCTTTTAATAATTCTATTCAAAAGAATAGTTTTTACTCTATTTCTAATGTAACAAATTTACAGTTAAAACAGGGATATTCCAGGAGTGAAAACTGGAATTTGGGGAATCAGAATATTGTATGCAGTGTTTACATGGTTTAAAATATTCCTAATATTAAACTAATCGAATATTGCCAAATTTCATTTAATATTGGGATGTGCAAGAATGAGTGAATCTCTCTCTATACTGGACATTATGCATGAATGATTAGATATTTACTCTTCTACAATTGTTGCTTTGTGCAGGCTGCTTCTTGAGGAGTATGTTTCCTGCAGCATTGAGCTTCCCTCAGATAGGATTTCAGCTCTTAATCAAAGAATTCAATCTACTGTACGACAGTTTGAATCCAGGTAGGTTTATATTCACTTCTGCACTTTAGTGGTATAGTACAGCTCATAAAATTTAATTATTTCATAAAGAGTGTTTTGTTTCTGGTGTTTATCTTTGAGTGATTTTTTTTACTCACAGGTATCCATGTGCACTGGATGTGGCACTGGAAAATCATGTCAAAAAAGTGTCATCTGACCATGAAAAAACAGTGCTTCATCAGTTCATCTCTCTAACTATGAGCTGTGGAAAATATCAAGTAGGTCTATCATTTATTGCTTTAAGCAACTAGTTTAAAGGTAACAAATAATCCACAATATTGTAGTGTCATCTGACCTTTATCACAAAATAAATTCTGACAGGATAATCAGAATCTGATGTAAAACTGGAATGAGTTAACATATGAGACACGCATAACTGGCACATCAGTTGCCTGTGGCATCGGCTGTGAAAAAAAAATTGACAGCCCTTGTGCTAATGTAATTTAAATCTTTATTTTAGTTGGGTTTTTGTAGTTGTACTAATTACCATTCACATCTTTCAGCCCCCAAATCAAGGCTTTAAAATGTTGTTCTTATATGCAGATCCTGCCAGATTCAGACACCTGTCTGATGCTCAGTCTGAATCATCCACTACCTTCTGTGAGAAATATGGCTGTAGACTACCTGAAGGAGATCCTTGCCTCAGAACATGTGTGTATCTTTTGTATTCCTATTACCATTTTCCAGTTTTTTTTGTCATAACATCCCATTGAACATCCATGAGACCCACATTAATGAAGTAGTGAGGTGCTTGTTGTCCGTTTGTGATATGTGACCCAGGACCACAAAACCAGTCATAAGAGTCAATTTTTCTGTTAGGATTACAGATTTCTGTATAAATTTTTGTTAGGATAGGATAATATTTGACAGAGATACAACTATTTGAAAATCTGGAATCTGAGGGTGCAAGAAAAAATAAAAAAAAAAAAAAGAGAAAATCGCCTTTAAAGTTGTCCAAATTAAGTTCTTAGCAATGCATATTACTAATCAAAAATTAAGTTTGAATATATTTACAGTAGGAAATTTACAAAATATCTTCATGGAATATGATCTTTACTTAATATCCTAATGATTTTTGGCATAAAAGAAAAATCAATAATTTTAACCCATACAATGTATTTTTGTCTATTACTACAAATATACCCAAGCGACTTAAGACTGGTTTTGTGGTCCAGGGTCACATATGGTTTTTTTGGGGGGTTTTTTTGGAACAGAATGGTTTTGATGAGGCGTTTCTGAAGGATGCATTGCTGGAGAGAATTAAGGATGATATGCCAGAGATTGTGCTATCTGCCCTTAAAGCTTTGCAGGTAAAATCACAACGTCATTAATGTAATATGTTTTGGTGATGTAAACTTCAAACCTGTCTTATTTTTGGTACAATCTAATAAATGTTATGTTATGGTTCCCTGACAGCTTCACATGAGCCATAATAGCCTAATGTATCAAATATTTTTAGATTTTGTTTAAAGTTTTAATAAACTGTCCTGTTGCAGAAAAATCTCTGGAATGGTATTTTCTGGGAATTACTCAGAATCAATATCTAGTAGAAATATCCTTACATTCACAACATGTTTACCTTCCTTAATGTTAATTATTTCTGAGTAAGAAAAAAATGATATATGATTGGTTGGTGAAAACTTGGCTGTTATATTACTGGTTATTATTATTTTTGCTTAAAATAGTCAGAGGAAGAGAAAGATGAATGATAATTTGATGAAATCAGTACTGATAAATTTCTTGTTGTCTTGATGCGTTTTCTTTCTTTATAGTGCTGAAGGATGTTCTGGTCAAAACCTCTCCATCAGATATGCTGGGTGTAGCCAACCAAATGCTTACTACAACTCTGATCAAGAACTTGGCCAATATGGATCATGCAACCAAACGCAACACTGTAAGTGTCAAACTTCCTGTCCAAGCTTAAAGGAATGGTTTACCCAAAAAATGTGAAGATGTTCTCATTTACTCACCCACATGTCGTTCCAACCCTGTATGCATTTGTTTCTTTGAATTTTTATTTTTGTCCATACAATGAATTATTTAATGTATTTATTTGCATTCTTAAAAATATTTTTCAATATTCAATCTCAATAACAAACCAACATTATCTTTGCTTAGTTCGAACTGTGTTTTCTCATGCGTGTATCTTGCAGTTGCAGAATGTGTGTGATATCCTGAGCCGTCAGGGCAGCAGTGTGCGGGAGAGAGCAGCATTTGTGGTGTTCAGTAATGCACTGCTACAGAGTCTGCAGTCCATGATGGAGAGTCAACACCTCCACACAGCACAGAGTGTGTACAAACTACTGGAACCTTTACTGCTACAGGTCTACACAATCCAACCTGAACAGGTCAGAGCACAAATGCAGAAACAAATGGCTTCAAATTACTTCTTCAAATGCACTGACACAGCAATTCTGGCCAGTACCAATTTCAAGAGAATTTTGGCTAGGGATGCATGATGCTCATATTGGTGTTGACCATAGTTTAAAAAAAATGATTGGAAGTGGATTTTATACAGAAGATTTGCTCTAAAACATTTTTTCTAACTTTTAAATTTAAATTGAATGTTTAAAAAAAAAAAAAAAAAGTAGGCAAAGCTTTAAACGTTTGCAATATCTAGTATTGCCTGAAACTTCTTTCAGCCAATATTTCCATATCAGTGCTGTTTCCAATATTACACATTTGTTGTATTTTAATAATAATAAAAAAAAAACTTTCTAAAACCCTAATTCGGAATGTTATATGCTGCGAATATTGTCAGAGGATCTTTGTCATGTACATCATAAGAAAAAGGAAATGTTCATTTCTGTTGTTTAGACGAAGACCATATCGTTTGAGTTATGAAAAAAAACAACCTTTTGTTATCAGCACCTTGTACTTCCAGTGTTGACTGCTGCTGATAATTATAGAATTATACATTTTAATATATAATGATACAGTTACTAGTATATTGTGCATTATATTATCTACACTGTTATTTAGTTGAAATTACACAATTGTATTTTAGGTCTAATGTGAATTTTGACTTCTTTTAATGTATGTTAGGCTTCTTGTGAGGAGGTAAATGAGTGTCTGCCAGTCTGTGTGATTTTGGGTGAGTTTCTGCAGAAAATGAGCTCTGGCCTCAATGCAGAGAGAGAACAAGGCCTCCTCCTGCTGTCACTCCTGCGGCTTTTCATCACGGCACTCAAATGTCCAGATTCCACATTTAAAGGTACAAGACTGCTTATTTAGCTGTGAACTGTGATGTGATTGTAATAAGTATTGCACACATTTATGTCTTCGTTTGTGGCATCTTACGTTTTATGTAAACTGAAAGAATTCCCATTTAAATATTCACACTATTTAAATCTTTTTATATGTACTATCATTCAGAAGTTTTATTTTTTTTTGAAAGAAGTCTCTTATTCCCCCCCCAAGACTGCATTCATTTAATCAAAAATACAGTAAAATTACTGTAATATTGTGAAATATTATTACAATTAAAAAATAACTTTTTATTTTATTTTATATATTTGAAAATGTATTATGAGTAATTTATTCCTGTTATTGCATAGATGAATTTTCAGCAGCCATTTGGTGCTCAAGGAACATTTATTATTGTTATCAATGTTGAAAACAGCTGCTTAATGTTTTTGTCATACAATTTTGTGTAATCTTTTATTTATTATTTTGTTTTTTTTGACGAATAGAAAGTTCAAAATAACAGCATTTTTCTTTTGATGAATAGAAAGTTCAAAAGAACGGCGTTTATTTTAAATATTGTTCTTTCTTTTGTAACAATGTAAAAGTCGTTACTGTCAATTTAATGCATTCATTATGAAGAAAAGTATTAATTTATTTTCCTAAAAAATGTATTGACCCCCAAACTATTGAACGGTAGTATTCATCTGCATAAATCTCCTTGTTAAATGTAAAAGAAAGAAAAGTGTTTTTCAAAGGGTAATCATTTTAAGACAGCAGGGCATTTCTTGGAATAGAGGCATTTACTTAATTCACTACAGATATTTGATGTTCTCAAAATGTCCAAATGTGAATCAATTAATTTGCCTGAATAATTATCTAAAAAATAAATGTTGCTAAAAATTGCATTACTGTGTATAATGTAATTGTTAGTTAACAAGGTTGTGTTTTTCAGATGAGCCATGGTGGAACCCAGAGAAAATGGACGCCAATACCTGCTGTTACGTGCATCTCCTGTGTCGTCTGTTTGACTTAGTGATATCAGGGGCCAGTCAAGGGCCCTTGGCTCTCTGCTTCAAGAGCCTAATGCAGCCTCTGTTACAGGTACTGTATTCTCTTTACACGTATACTGTTTAGCACACAAATCTACACTTAACCTCTCTAGGTGGAATAACATGCTGTTAATTTTGAATTTTACTGATGTAGCTGAGGCAATCTCCAGATACAGCCATTGTGACCATCAGGAAATGCTTGATTGTAGTTTTTTTTTTTTTTTTACATTACAATTTATTTTCATTAAAATCAATGGCATTGGCTAGATGGCTAATTTCTTTCTGGCTTTGTCATTTTGCAGGTTCACCTGAATGAGCCGACAACCCTCTTTAAGTTCCTCTCTCTTTTATGGGGCTACAACAGTAATTTGGGTGATCAGTTGGATTGTCGAGTTAGTGCCATACTGCAAACTCAGGCTCTTTATGTGGGAAAGGCTTTGCTTTGCAATCAGCCAATAAAAACCCTCAACGTGCTGGCATCAGGTTCCTCACCAGGTATGTCAATATGGTATCTCTCGCATCTGGGTTAGTTCAGGGTTTCCCATACATTGACTTATTTGTGGCGGCCTGCCACAATATCAACACTGACCGCCACAAATAGATTTTCCAAAATGCTTTGACTTCGTTGAATAAACATGAGCTCTGCACGGTTCAAAGTCAAAACGCGGCACGGGTGTTTTTATATGAATGTATCGTTTTTGAAGGGAACCGAATGTCTTCAGAAAAGTTTTAATGTAATTTTCATGTAATCTTTCCTATAATGCCTGATAAAGCAGCATTCATGAGTGCAGCGCTGTTTTGTGCGCAGCCGTTACCGGGGAAACCGGGATTTCTGCCATTCTTAGAGCGCCTCCTGCTGGCAGAGAATGAATTTGCACTTTCAATAAGCCCGTCTGCTGTTTTATGTTTACATTATATACATATATATTTCCCCCAGGGGAAGTACCGCCACACATGGAGTCTAAGTCTGTGGGAAACACTGCAGTTACATATGAATTTTTTTTGCTTGTTTTGTTTTTCTAATCTTTACAGGATGTTCTGAGTTAGTATATTTGCAAAGACTGTCAATTATTTAATAATATATTTTAAAATCTGTTTGGAATTTAATCATGAATAATCTTATATGTTCAGAGTTAACATAATTAGTACCTTTTTAAGAAAAGATATCTAAGACCACTAAGATACTTTTATTGCCTCAATCTGATTCTTGTTTACATTTAGTAAAAATACTTTTTAATTTTTATTGTCTTAGAATTTTTTTTTTTTTTTTAGAGAGAGAGCTTGTTCTCAACCATGACTAATGTGTAACTCACTGTGGTCTTGTTTTTGCAGTGGTGCCGTCCTTGCTGGTGTGTTTGTGTTCAGGTGTGTGTGAAGTTCGGAGAGCTGCCATTGCTGTGCTCCATTCTCTCTCAGGGGTTGTTTCTTCACCTTATTATCTACTAGTGGAGAACCTCCTCAAATCATCAGAGGAGATAATCGCTGACCCCTCTTACCTCAGCCAGGTCAGTCAAAGCATAATACTTGCTGCGTTAGCTTTGTATAGCTTTGGTAAACAGGATTTTTCATCTTGCTTGTGTTGCATAAGTTCTAGAAGTGTTGGACGCATAAATCAAATCTCTGTAAGAAATAACACTTCTGATTTTACCGTAGGCACTGTCCAAGATGTATGAGGAGGCACTGTTGTTGAAAGATAAAAAGAAAAAGCTGGCATCAATTGAGCAGCTTCTTCAGTGTGTGCAGTTACCATGCTGCCCTTCCTACACCTGTAAAACACTGCTGCGAGCACTTCAGGATGTTCATGGAGAGGTACTGTCAACAAACTGATCATAGTTTGCGTCTCCTCAAGTAGTGTGTTTAGCAATGTGGTTTATATAAATGCGTTTTGTGCGGTCCATGTAATCAGGTGTCCTAGTTGCCACAAAAACAGCTCCACATGACCATGAAACATACTAAAACAGTAGTTCTCAACAGGTGGCAGGGCTCTACAGTGCAACCATTTCAGTCGTATTTGTGACTGAAAACTACTGCGTGCGACTATGAAAAAATATTTAGGAGCACCTGTGCGACTGACCCGATCAGCATTTATGTTTGCGATGAGGGAGCTTCAAAGGTTTCTAATGTACTTACAACGTGTTCTCGCATTATAACAAACAAAGTGTAGACAGTGTAAATAAGAGATTCATTGTGCAGTGTGAGGAGCTTCGTTGATTATAATGGAGTTTTGTGAGATTGCGATGAACTAAGATGAGTGACAGCTTTGAATGATTATTAAGGGAGTTTGCAAATGTGATATTGATTTAATACAACAGTTAATTGAACAAGAAGTTAATATTAAGTGACTTATATTGACTGACTACAACACTATTGCCTTATTTTGCTCTATTTCGTCAACGAAAATAGTTTAAAACAAAGAACAGCTGAGCCGCTGCACGTCTCCATTCAAACACAGCGTTTCGTTTATGAATGAACTGCATTTGTAAACTAATCTAGTGAGTCAATGATTCAATTACCCATTCATAAAGACAGTCACATACTTAATTCCTAAATGAATCAGCCGTTCGAATGAATCAATTAAATGAACGATTCAGTTATAAAATCAGTGACTTACCGTCACCTGCTGGCATTTTAGTTTCATTTTTAAAGTATCTTTTCTGTTATTTAAATCATTTAATATTTCTATATTCAACATTTTATATTTAAAACATTAACCTCAACATGAATTTATGAATTTAATTGCACTCATGCGACCTCTGAGCCTCATTAAACATCTAAAAAAAAAAACATACATACATAAATTACTACATTTTTTTAAATTAGGAGCACAAGTGCTCCTAAAAAGAGAAGTAAGCGTAGAGCCCTGGGTGGGACTCAGACTACATTAAATATGGGTTTTCTTGCAGTGTGGATAAACATGGTTTTTGCTGACCATAATGTCTTTGAGCATGAACTCAATGACAGTCAAGAGACATCTAGAAAACAAAATGGTCTGTTATCTTGTCATTGTAAACAAAACAAAAAAAAGAAAATTGTCATTTACTCGCCCTCATGTCATTCCAAACTTTCATGGCTTTCTTCTGTGAAGCACAAAATATTTTTTTGAAGAATGTTTTCGAGTTAATCACGAACTTTCAAACTTATTTTAAGCAGAAGTAAAGCTTTTCCAATTTCATTGGTTTCATGATGACAGGATTTTAAAACAAAAACCAAAAACATTTTTAAAGAAAAATTTTAACCTGTTAACCTGAGACATTTTTTTGCTCACTTTTGTACGATAACAGGGTTGTGTGCTTACTTTTTTTGTTGGACCACTTGCAATCCTAATTAGAAACATGTTGAAACACAGGCAAAAATGTAGGTGTACCTTCTGATCAGTGACTGCCATTAACTTTCCCATTACGGGAATTTTGTCCCATTATATCATGTGCCCCCATAAATTGATTTCCACAGGCATTTTTTACCTTTTAGGGCATTTTTTCTAACCTGATTAGATGAATAATCTTTTATGTCAATTCTTAAATGTATTTATTTTTTTAACAATTCAATCAGAGTAACAGAACATAGGCTGTTACCAATTATATGAAGTATCAGTAAAATCCATCTGCACTGCAAAGGTGACACTGTATCTGAAGTTCCATTTACAAGTATTGACACAAACTGTTTAATGCTGCGCAGAAGGTGGCATGAATGCATTTACACTGCAATAACGATTACATGTTATTAGATTTAGGTGTGCTTAAATATTTTTTCACAGTCGCACATAGAAATTTTCAGTCACTTTTGTTTATTTAGTGTTTGATGCTAGTTTGTCCTGCTTTTCTTATAATAATGCCCTTTGTCCAGCCTATTTTGGCCATTCTTCTGCCTGCTGTGGAGCGACTTCTCGAGCAGTGTGCTCCAGACTCATGCACCTTCCTGCCAGATGAGGCCCACCTCCTGCAGCTCCTGCTGAGCAAGTTCAATGAGGCGTCTGCACATTTACTGGTCAAAGACCCTCGATGCCTAGAGGTCTTCATTAGGGCATTGGGCACCTCAGCCAAGCCGTACCCTTCTATGCCTGGTTTCCAGATTATTGCCCTGGAGCAGGTTGGTGGACGTTTAGAAAAAGCCTTCTGCTTGGAGATTGACAATTGGAAATGTTGGTCCATTAAGACTCCTGATTTCAGTTTTGTCATCACATACTCCATCATTAATAAATTTGTCATTTATCATAGAATTGTCACTGTAATGTGAGGTAAAATAAAATAAAAAACTGTTGCACCATATTGGACATAGATCATACTATATGTTCTATAATGATACATGTTGTGTTTGTAATTTGATTGCATGTTTCATCAGATCACCAAACCATTCTTCACTGCTCTTGGAGATGAAAAGATTCAACAGAAAATTATTTCTGTTTTATTTGACTTGTTGGTGGGGAACAAAAGCCCTGCCTGTGCCCAAGCTATCAACGGTGTCTTTAAAGCGGTATGGGAAATATTAATTTTCTTTTCATATTCATTTTAAATTATATTATTTAGAAAGTCGTGTTTTTTGCTTATTCCGGAAATAACAATAACCCATGTTTTGCTGTGTTCGTGTTTCTAGATTGCTGTGGATGCAGAGCTAGTAGCCAATGAGCTGATGCCCGTAGATAAACAAAAGGTTACTGCAACAGTTCAACAAACACGCAGGAGTAAAATGCAAACTAGGTGAGTAGCTATCCTTAGTTAATCAACTCTGAATTCCAGTTCTGGAAGATTTGAAGATTTAAATTGCAGTCTTTTTTCCAGAAAAACACAAGAATCATCTGGGGCAGTGCCGGAGGAGAATGTTGTCTCTTGGCCAAGAGTTACCCTGATTTTAGAGCTTCTGCAACACAAGAAAAAGCTAAGGAGAGCCCAGTGTCTTGTGCCCGCTCTGTTTAATCTTCTGTTCAGGTATGTTAAAGGGATAGCTCACCCAAAAATGAAAATTTGATGTTTATCTGCTTACCCCCAGGGCATCCAAGATGTAGGTGACTTTGTTTCTTCAGTAGGACACAAACGAAGATTTTTAACTCAAACCGTTGCAGTCTGTCAGTCATATAATGGCAGTCAATGGGCTCCACGGCTTTGAGAGTAAAAAAAAACATACACAGACAAAACCAAATTAAACCCTGCGGCTCGTGACGATACATTGAGGTCTTAAGACACGAAACGATCGGTCTGTGCAAGAAACTGAACAGTATTTCTATAATTTTTTTACCTCTGATCCACCGCAATGTCCAACTGTCCTGAGCGCGTTCACAACATCCGACGCGTGTATGTGCTCTGGCATAGTAGACATAGATATATATATATATATATATATATATATGAGTAGATGCCTCATTAGTGACTGTTTCTATGGGCCGCAATATGTTCCAAAATGGCAGACGTGTCAACGTATCTGGAGCGGTCGAATAGGGCAATCTTTACATATCTATGATAGTAGACGCATGTGCGGAAGTGATCTGTCGCGCGTATACGTCACTCATTATTTCCACAGTGCAGAGAGATTGCGGACGTGTTCACTGGCACTGCGATGATCTAAAGATATTTAGAAGTACAGGTCATCATAATGGATTTTGATATATCATCAGACAACATGGAATTTTTTGCCCGACCGTATTTATTTGACCACGCGCCGGATGTTGTGAACACGCTCAGGACAGTTGGACGTTGCGGTGGATCAGAGGTAAAAACAATTATATAAATACTGTTCAGTTTCTTGCACAGACCGATCGTTTCGTGTCTTAACCCTTTAAGCTTTCATCTACTGCTATGTTTTGACATTTAACATTTTTGCAACTTACACAAGTTTCCTATATTAAACTCTTAAATTCTTTCTGATATTCTTCTGTGGCTGAATGCTCTGATGCAGTAAAATTAAGATGAATACATCAAATCTCACTGAGTGTTCTGATTGAATATGCTCTGAAATATGTCACATAAACATATAATGGATTGTCAGTGCCATTTTATTTGTGTGCTGTAGATGTCTGGAGCCTGTCGCAGCTGAACAGGAGAATCTCGAGTACACAAAACAACTCATTCTCAGCTGCCTGCTGAATGTCTGTCAGAAACTGTCTCCCGATGGAGGGCCTATAAGCAAAGGTACTAGCAATCTGGCATAGGTTATGATAAGGTCAAATGATTTTGTTGCTTTCTTTAGCCCTATGCGGGTGGTAATATTTTACATGTGAGATAATTTTGCAGACCTTAAGAAATAATTGCCATCCAGGTTTTCTTGTCACTTTGCAGAGGATATAAGCACAAGCGTTCTCGAGTTTCTTTGAATCCGAATATTGCATTTGTGTATGTGTGTGTCTGTGTGTGTGTAGATGTGCTGGAGGAGGATCAATTTAATGTGGAGCTGGTAGTGCAGTGTGTCAGGATGTCAGACATGCCCCAAACTCACCATCATGCTCTCCTCCTGCTTGGTGCTTTGGCGGGTATCTTTCCTGTAAGTACAGTCATGAAACACTCACTTACACATAATTCAAACACAGTGGTAAACATCTTTCTCTCTCTGATTTTAGGAGAAGGTTCTTCACAACATCATGCCCATCTTCACATTCATGGGCTCCAACATCATGCGACTGGATGACACTTACAGCTTCCAGGTCATCAACAAGACTGTTCAGGCAGTCATCCCTGCTCTTATAAAGGTATGTTTAAAATATGTTTGTTCCATATACAGTGTGATATATTTGAAGCATTTGAGTGTCTGATTTCTACAAGAGCTTTAAAGGGATAGTTCACCCAAAAATGAAAATGTGATGTTTATCTGCTTACCCCCAGGGCATCCAAGATGTAGGTGACGTTGTTTCTTCAGTAGAACATGTATGATGATTTTTAACTTTAACCATTGCAGTCTATCATTCGTATAATGCATGGCAATGGTAACAAAATCTATGAGAGTAAAAAAACCATGCACAGACAAATCCAAATTAAACCCTGCGGCTCGTGACGACACATTGATGCCCTAAGACACGAAACGATCGGTTTGTGCCAGAAACCGAACAGTATTTATATAATTGTTTTTACCAAAATGTTATCAAATTTCATTTTTGGGTGAACTATCCCTTTAAAGATTTGAACAAACCTCAAATCTATAGTATTAAACTTCACCGTGCTGGTTTGTAGGGGTGTGAGATATGTATGGCAATATCGTAATCGCTGTTTAATGATGTGTGAGCTGGCATTGAGTATGTCACTCGCTTTGTAAAAAAACTAACTAAAACACTCGATTCTAGATAGTGGTAAAAAAAAGACCCTGTGTGGGTTCATGTTTTTTATATTTACAACATAATATAGTTAAATAATGTCACGTGAGCCATTTTCTTGAATATCAGCACTATTGCAAATGTGATTGATTTTATGCAACATATATAGTTTGAATGAATCGGCTAAAAGGACTCACTCATTCTGACACTGATTTGCTGTCACGTACTGGCAGTTCTAATTTTATATTTATGCATTTTTTTGTTTTTTCCAATTGTCCAATTATCATTATTGAAAAAAAAAAAAAGATACTTCTTTGTATATGGCTTGTAAATAGAAGTGTGCTATTACTGTTATAAGCAATATGACGACTTTGGATTGTTTTGCCTGGTGGATGATAAAATGGGTGACTTATACTAAAGGAGGGATCCAAGCCATATTTAGAGACCAGAATATCATAAACACCTTAAGGTGGACTCTTGTGACCTGGGCCATTAAGCAGTGCCTTGGCAACCCCCAGAATACACTAGAATTTGCATAGAAACACATTAAAGCCGCTTGGAACACCTTGGCAACTACCCTTGCAACCAAATACAACATTTACTACAAGTTATAGCATGAAATAAACATTAATTAGCATAAAAAGATGTGTTGAAAGAAACCGTACAGCTTACTGAAGTGTATCATGTCAATGTACCTGTAAACAATGACACACAATATTATGTTTGCCTCAGGAAAGCCATGCAGTGTCCATAGCTCAACGCATTTTTATGAAAGCCACTGTTTAACTGTCTATTTATATTATTAAGACGTTGATATGCACAGTTTGTTTTATGTGCAATATTTGTATACAACACTGTTTATATTAGGTGTTGACTCGTATATAAAAAATTAATAGCCATTGAATTGTTTTGGACTCTGTTGTTAATTTTAACCTTTAGTATTATAGTAATGTACCTACAGACGGGGTTCCCTGTATGGTTTACAGCTTTATTGACAATTAGTTGAGAGCTTTTTTCTTTTTTTTAAATAAGCGCATTAACTGATGATTAACAAAATAACTTTATTGTTTAATAGGGAGATCTGAATAAGATTGGTGAGATCGAGGGGTATGTGATTGACTGCCTGTTAGTGATGGTTATGAAACTTTCAGAAGTCACTTTCAGACCTCTCTTCTTCAAGGTAAGCTTTAATATTGTTCAGGTGAGAAAAAAGAACTTCCTCCAATAAGACAATATCTTGTTTTTAGATGCATAAATAATAATAGTGATGGACTCTTTCGAACCACTGCTTTGTGAGGCATCAAAATCTTTGTGAATCTTTTTTTTTTTTTTTTTTTCGAACCAAGTTTCTATAGTTTTTACATGATCTTGGATCAGTTTTGTAATGTAGATGCATTAATGGCACATTTGTATTTTTTTTTTTTTTAAAGAATCGTAGTAGTTGTCTCTTGTTGGCCTGATTAGTCAAATCTTTCATAAATCGCAAAACAATGCAATGTAACAACATATATTATACAGATACTAAATGTTTAATGGTGTTTGGTAATTTCTAGATTTGTATATCTAGAAAACATTTTGCAAAGTGATTGGTTCAGTTGATTCAGTTTCGAAAGCTAAATTCATCCCATTACTAAATAATACTTCAAATAGTACACCCAAAATTGTTAAAAAATTTACATAATATTTACATGGAATTCACTTTCCAAGTTCCACTTTCATTTTCCATGAAGCTTTCGAGTCTGAGCTTTTGAATTCTGTTAATTTCAGTACAAAAATAAAAAAATGTTGTTTTGGCAAATAGTAAATATTGTCATAAATGTGACATGAACCTGTATCTTTACAGTGGAGAATTTTGCTAAACATATGCACTATATTACATTCATTATACTTTTACTTGTTAGGGATTCTCATTTTAACTTTTAATACTAATGTACAGACAGGGTTCCCTGTATAGTTTACGGCATTATTTGAGAAGACTGTACTAGGGCTGTCAAAAAAATTTCGAATTTTGAATATTCATCGAATTTAAAATAAAAATCCACAGTGTGGATTTTTATTTTAAATTCAATGAATATTCGAAATTCGAATTTTAGGTGTGCGTTAAGGAGGCAGCCTTATCAGTGGTGCACGAGATGCGATGATGATGTAAGTGTCGTTGCATTATAATGTATTTGCATTATCCTGTCCAGTTGAAGCCACTAGATGCGGCGCTGCTGCGTTGTTCATTTAAGAATATTGTGGAAAAAGAAAACATCAATGTGGAGAAGACCTTGTTTACCGTATTGTCCCGAATATAAGACAATGTTTTTTTTCTTGGAAATACATGTGAAAAAACGCGGTCGTCTTATATTCAGGGTCTAGACTTTGACATGTCAACAATACACCCACAACAATAGGTGGCGCCAAATACGCATAAAACGAAATGCAATGCGTGTTGTAAAGATCGCGAGTAAAAACAAAAGAGAACGAAAACCTTACAGCTGCATGAGTCGTGACTGTCACGTTAGCCTGATGGGACCAAACTCCCTTTGTGATTTTTAAAACGTAAGACAGTACCCAGATTTGAAGACTACAGTAAGATTTAACTTCTACTAGATTTTGGTAGGCTACTATTAGATGAATAGCCTAAATGTCCTAATTCAGATGGGCTACCTGTTTTTTTTTTAATGGTATATCAAAAAGTGTATTTTTTTTTAATGGGATTGTTGGTACATTTTACCAGTTTTTACCATACTTTCAAAACAAAAATGAAAATAGGAAAAATATGATAATAATTGAAGACAAAATGTGTTTTACTGAGAAAAAACAAGATTTGGTTTTTAAAAAGCCTTTTTCCAAAAGGTACATTTGGAAAAAGGGGGGTCGTCTTATAATCAGGGTCATCTTTGTAGCGTCTCGACCAATCTGACACACTAATTTTAATTTGATTTAACAAATCAATTATTCATTAGGTTAACAAATCGTCACAGTCCCCTCACTCAATAAACTGGATGCCAGGATGTCTGCTGAACACCAGGCCCTCTGGTCACCGTGACAACTAATCATGATATCACTGGTTTTATGACCCCCCAGGAATGTGAGAAGGATAGCCCACTCTTGTCCCAAGGAAAAGCAGAGTAGAAATGGACTGTGTTCTAGTTAATTCATAGAAAAAACGTTATTTGAATGAATCGCGTCTCGCACAAAAGAGCCGCATGTTTAGAAAGCCATGTAAAATTAATGCAACTTTAACTTTTTTTTTTTATTTAACTTTGAGAGGGGGGGGAAACACATCTCAAGACTTTATGGCGGGGTTTCTTCCCCATCCCACTGCATCTTTTTAAATGAAAAATGTACTCTGTGTGATATGCTTTCAGCCCTTTATATTAAACTATGCATACATGATGCCGTTTTGTTTATAGTTGTTTAAGCAACTTAATTATAATAGGTTTATAAACATTATTTTAAACATTATGCACTTTTTTCCACAGATAGTCATGTTGTCTTATGCTTTGAATAATGTACAGAATGTACAGTGCTCTCTCCCACCTTCAATACCACGACTGAGGTGCCCTTGAGCAAGGCACCGAACCCCCACCTGCTCCCCGGGCGCTGGCCACTTTTTATTTTTTTTGGGGGGGGAAGCCATGGCCTAATGGTTAGAGAGTAGGACTCATAACCCAAAGGTTGTGGGTTTGAGTCTCATACCGGCAGGGATTGTAGGTGGGGGGAGTGAATATACAGCGCGCTCTCTCCCACCTTCAATACCCCGACTGAAGTGCCCTTGAGCAAGGCACCGAACCCCCACCTGCTCCCCGGGCGCCACAGCAAAAAAATGGCTGCCCACTGCTCCGGGTGTGTGTTCACGGTTTGTGTGTGTTCACTGCTGTGTGTGTGTGTACTTTGGATGGGGTAAATGCAGAGCACTAATTCCGAGTATGGGTCACCATACTTGGCCACATGTCACGTCACTTTCAAACTTTCGAATAAATGTGCATTAGTAGTATTTTGCTCGATGCGCCCTCTTGCGGCCTCAGGAGAGAAGCCAAAAGCTTTTCTTCACCCTAACTGAAATTATGCATTTTAAATTCGAATATAATTAGAATTTTGATCATATTTAAGTACAAAATTCGAAATTGTAGTTTTTTTCAGCCATTTTGACAGCCCTAGACCGTACCTATGTAAAACATTGAATTCAATTGAATCAAGAGCTTCTGAACTTAAATTAAATTAATAGTTAAATATTTCTGCGGTTTCGTGGGCATGGTGGTAGCTAATATACTGGTTGATTAATCATCTGAAAACTAATTCTTTGTTGCCAAAATGCTCAATATGTATTTGACTATTGTAAGTTACTTTGGTTATGAATTCTCTATTAGGATCAAAATGCATGCTGATTGAATCTTTTTTTCCACTCTTCTGCAGTTATTTGACTGGTCAAAGATGGATGGTGCTTCTAAAAACCGCCTGTTGACGTTCTACAGACTGGCAGACAATATCGCCAACAAACTCAAAGGACTGTTTGTGTTGTTTGCTGGGCAGCTGGTCAAACCCATCTCTGAACTGCTGCGTCAGCTCAACATTTCTCACACAGGTAGTCTGCACATATCAATATGTTTGTATGAAGTTCCGAATTAGGGGTCGACCGATTATCGGCCTGGCCGATTATCAGCGCCGATATTAAGCATTTTATGATTATCGGTATCGGTCATTTTCAAAACCGATTCGCCAATAAAATAACTTAATTTTGAAACGCGCTATTTGGCTCTGATGCAGCCTGTCAGAACTCACCACTCTGTGGCCTAAAGCCACATCTGATTTGTTGGGAGTCATGAGTCCGACCAATCAATGCGGAATTCACACTCACTCCGAAAGCACTTGCTAACTGGAGCTGCTTCAGTGATCATGCATCATTTGTCTCTCAAAGGTAAGGCAGCAACAGACGTTGCTTAAGTTGCAATAGATCCCAATCCACTAACGTTACACTGAAGTTGCAAAACACCTCAATATTATCTATGATTTCCGCGATGCGGAGAACGCGAACGGAATCACGGAATCCAGTCGTATAAATGGAATTTACTGTACGACGCGGAATGTCACGGAATTTGTCCAAGTTTGGATGAATTAATCAAAAGTAGGTCAGTACACTTAAGTAGGTTCCTCGTGGCAACCCGTCAAAATATAAGTTCGGGTTATCTTAATGAAATGATCTGAAATATATTACTGTGGTGCAGTATGATGTACATAATACTACTCGGGGATGAAAGTTTTCCGTCGCTATGACGGATTTCCGTCAATTGGAAAAAATAGGGGAAAAGAAACACAGACGTTTTCAACAGAAGCACATTGTTGTTGTTCTGCAGGTGTTCTGACGACTTGTTGGTAGCATAATCTGATAGGAAGCATTATTTGTCAGAACACCAGCACACCAAAAATCATCCCCGCCACGGCTGCAGCTTCTCACTGACAACATAACGCCGCTCGCATCATTCACAGTCGGGTTATTAGCAGAGAACACAGAGCAGGTCTTGAATTTCAGGCGCAGGATTGCGGCTATTAATAATAATTCTACTCATTCCCGCAGGTTCTATGCTTATAACGCGATGACGGAACTTATCATTTGCACGTACTTTTGAGTCTTGAGAACTCTCATTTTATGTGAGCCCACAGATCGCGATAAGGAGAGTGAAAGATTTTAATAATTATTCAAGGAGTTTGCAAATGTGATATTGATTTAATACAACAGTTCAATAAACACGTACTGCCTGATTTTGCTTTATTTCATCAACGAAAATAGTTCCAAATAAAGTAACAGCCCAGCCGCTGCGCATCTCTAAAAGCAAACACAGCGGTGTTTCATTCATGAATGA